GGCTGCCCCTGTTTTCATTTTTTCTTAAAAAAAAAAAAAAAGATCTGAAACAAATAAGTCAGTGTTGAAATCAAAGTGCTCTGATCAAATCTACTTATTCTCACGAAGAAACAGAAGCTTCACATGATATATATTCATCGCTTCTTAAAGCAAATTTTAGCAGGAAACATTTTTTAAAGGAACTACCTAGAATGGACCCCTGTGAAAGCAGATGAAGCAAGACAGTGACAACCCCACGTGTGATAAGGCCGTGGGGAGACCGAGGCGCTCACACGCTATGGGCACCCGCTCTTGGTGTTCCCCACCCTGCGCGTCCTCACCACCCTGTGGGCCATGTCTCATCGCTGTTTTGTACATGTCCCTGATGATGGGTGACGTCTGGCACGGCTCTGTTTGTCAAGTGGCCGTTTGGCCTTCCTCTTCTGTAAAGCATCTTTAGCCCCTTTTCCTGTTGGGTTATCTTGTTGGGTCATCTGTCTCTCCTTGATTTGTAAGGTTTTTGTTTGTTTTTAATAAATACTGGATAACACCAAATATGACTAAGGATTCATTCTTTCTATCATAAAGCGGCCAAAAATGATTAAATTTTTTAAACTAAGACTTTTTTTAAATAAAAAAATACATTTGAAAAAAAATAAAGGAGGACTGACCCTCCAGGCATTCAGCCTCAGAGTCTTTGGAGTGGAGATACTTTTGAAATTATCATCCTGTGTCCTTATTTCATAGACAGAAAACAAAAGATGGTGGGTCTGTCGTTGTCGGGGTCCTGTCACGGGGGGGGGGGGCTGAGGTCGAGGTGGGCAGTTCCCTGCAGCTTCAGGAATTTACACCCACCTCCTCCATCACTTCCCCTGACAAAATCCTGAAACAGTGCGTCTTCCCCAATGCTGTCAGAACCCAAAGTCCCCCATCTCTTTGCTGTCTCAGATTCCCCTTGAACTGAGGTCTGGTCCCCAGACAAAGCAGTGCAGGTGCAGATAGGTCTTGGGAGCTTGTCATACACAGGATGGCCCTGGACCCGTGGGAACACCCATCCTCACTGCAGACACAGTCATCACATCTCTACCTGAAAAGCTCTCACCACCCCTTGGCCCTGCACGCGGAGAACACACAGCTCCGGGAATGGCCCAGGCCCACCTAGGAGAAAACTGAAACCACCCATTTCTCCAAAGTCACAAGACACGGGCGGCAGGGCCCAACGCCCACATCCACACTGGCCTGAAGACCCTCATGTTTATCAGAGAATGGCTAAACCTGCCACCAATTTCGAGAAAGCATACGCCCTTGAGGTTCCAGATGGCACTTTCTGTTTGTATCAGTGCGTTTCTCCTGCCCACTCAGAGTAGAAGGTGGGACCTTGGGGGAACCAGGAGCCCTGCATCCAGACATCTCCTCCCACGACCCGGCACCCCCAGCCCAGACTGCGGCCTAGGAGGTTTCTGGGTGTGGGGTGGCTCCTACATCATGGGCAGTAAAGAGGAAATCCTGCACCTAGAAGCCCAGAGCTGGGATCAAGTCAACGTGGGGCAGGAGCAGACAGTTATTTTTAAGAAAACATTAGACATTTCTAATGAAAAGGTCTTGTCATTCCATCAAGAACTCACTTAACACACAACAAACACATATTGAGCACTTCTGACTGTGCAGAAGTTAAGTGCACACAGGTTATTAATATGCCCACCTTGCCCTAGAACAGGTGATTGTTCCCAAGAATTAGCCATTCAAGGTGGGGAGGAGGCAGAGCTCAGTGGTGAAGCACATGCTTAGTACGCCTGAGGTCCTGGGTTCAACCCCCAGTACCTCCTCTAAAAAGAAAGATAGATAGACAGATAAAATAAAACCTAATTACCTCCTCCCCCAAAAAAAAATAAAAAGAAGAAAATATTTTTTTAAAAAACATTCAATATGGTACAGGGGAAATTCTGCTGCTCACTACAGTAAGACATGAGCGCATTATTTAATCTTTCTATGTATCGACAAACACAGATTTAGTTGTGAAGGCATCCGAATAAACGCACTGGCCGAGCACATTCGCAGCTGTGCTGAGGTCCTCTCCTGGAGCTTTTGTTTGGCCCTTTGGCCTGCTGTCCATTCAGCAGAAGACCCCAATGGGGCTTTGGCCAGTTAGAAGAGTTGGTGCCAAGACACTGAAATTGCCATACACCAGGTCAGAAAAGATGATTGCGTCTGTACCCAACTTGGTTGGAATTTTACTGTAGCCAGAGGTGTTGCAGCAGTTTCAGACCATTAATGGGAAGTGGTGAGGATTCAATGAGATGCTATAGGACAGTTCCTGGCATAAACCCAGCCTCAGGCACACCGTAGACAGTCAAAAAGGTCTTAGACATCAATTCCCCAATCCTCCTCCTCAATTTCCTCATCTCTAAGGTTTGTTATCATGTTGGCTTGACCAACTTAACTCACAGGCTCAAATTGCATAATACATCAACACCAGAGCCCCACACAATAAATCACCTTATTAGGACTATCAAGTCCCTGATTGAAAAAATTAAGAATTCTATTTACTAAGGTGGGTGGAGAGAGCTGAATGCCAATATACTCTGCCAAGATGAAACGTGTCCTCTGCCTAGATGTGGAGCTTGCTGCAGATGTCAGGGACCAAGTCTTCTATTGGAGAAGGTCAGCGAACTTTGGAGCAAGGACCAAATCTGCACCCCACCCTGACCCCGACCCTCTGGTCATTTCTGTAAGTGAAGTTCTATTGCACTGCCGTCCTGCTCATCCATCCATGAGTCCTCTATGGCTGCTTTCATGCCAGAACCACAAAGCTGAGTCGTTATGACAGAGAAGGTATGGCCCCCAAAGCCTAAAATATTTATGATCTGGCCCTTTCCAGAAAAAAAAAATTGTCAACTCTGCTTTATTGAATACCTTTCATTCCTCTGTAACAAATATCCATAAATCTGAGGCCGAGTGCTGGAAATTAAACTTTTTAGCTCTAGAGTCAGCTGAGGGTTACAAAGTCCTGTGGTTGGAATTGAGACTTCGTTGAATCTGGAGGTTGGAAATAAGAGGTCTGTCTTGGGGTGGTGTCTGTTTTGCTACAGTGTAGTCCTGAAGCAAACTGCAGATTAGAATAAGGCTTTAAAATAATCATGAGGGTTTTAAGATGCGAGGAAGCAAGATGGGGTGGAAGCAGCCCCGACCTGAGAGTCTGCACTGTGTTCCAGTCCCTGGCTGGTCACCAGCTGGGTGTATTTTTGGGACAATCGCCACACTTCTGGGGGGGCTGTCACTTTATTTGTAAAATAAAGGGCTCTCAGTTCATCTACCACCTCTTGAACTACTCCAGTGGGGATCTCACTGACACAGACATGGAAGTTTTGGGCTGTGTCATCTCTAAGATGCCTTTCCTGCTTTAAAGCTTAATGTAAAGTGAGACTTGACATTGTGTGACTGTGGCCTTGGGCAAGGCTATGTGAGAAGCAGTGAGTTTACATTCACGGGGTGCTTCTAGTTCCACGGTGTCTTAGTGACTTCGCCGGGGTCACAATTCAGCACGCTCTCTTCTTTCCGAATAGATGCCATGTTAGTGAAAGTCCAGTCCATCAGTGGAGAGAGAAGGCAGCCCCGGACAGCTCTAGACAGGCCCTTCACCCTGATTTATGTGGCAAGAGTGGAGATATGGGGATTGGCCCTTGAGTTATGCCTTCTAGGGGGACATCAACATGAGTTTACTTGCCCTCACCTGGCACCAGCAGACACAGCAAGGACGGCTTCATCCCTCGAGTAATTAGTCCTCGTAGCAAAAGGGCCCTGGCTAGGGTGCTGCCAGCAATCTCAGGATGATTGGGACCTGCCAGCAAATAAATCCTGCAGAATCAGGACCGCTGTCCCTATCCGAAAGCCCCAAAGTGAGGACCACCTTCCAAAAGCTCAGAATCCCAACTGTTCCTCCCCTTTGTGGACAGCACATCGTCCTGGAGCGCATGCCCCGCACTCCTCCCCGTAATACCCATGCAGGGCAGTGACCCCGGCTGGCAGCGCGGAGCCTCGTGGACAGCAGTCAAACAACACCCAGACGAAAACTGCAGCTGATGGCCCGGCCTTGCGGGTCAGCGGCTGCTGTGCCGAGCTCTCTCCCTGCCTCCTGAAGTTCAAATGCCAGCCTGATTTCTATCTGGAAACGTCCCAGCCCAAACATGGAACAAAAGTTCCCTCTGACAAGCCCATTCCGGGTTCCAAAGTATGTTTTTATGTTTGTTGGCGAATAGAACTGTCACCAGCAACAATAACAACACTGTTTCCCCTCGACTGAAGCCACTTCATTTCTTCACATTTGTTCCAGCGCTGGAGCTGGACGATGAATAATGTAGGCTAGGCGCTGGCCCAAGCCCTGACCTCGTGCCTCCAAAAGCAAACACAGCGGTGAAAATGGAGACTTGTTTGTTTGGACTCTCGCTGCCTAATTTGAAAAAGAAAAAGAAAGAAGAAAAACAAACCTCCCACCATCCCATTTCATCAGTGTAGACACTGAAGTTTTATTGTTTTGTTTTGTTTTCCTTTTTTGTTTTCACATCTCACTTTTTGAAACAAGGATCTGCAGCCCTCTACCGGCGCAAGGAATGGCGCCAACTCCCCGATCACCGAGGCTACCCTGCCATCTTGTGGCCATCATGGGGATGTGCAGGTTTGGATAAAATCAATCTCTAAGCCTCATAAAACACAGGTTGTTTGAAGGAATCTTCCAAATATTTAGACAGGCTTTCATTTAAGACATCTTGGGGAGAGAGCCTGGATTGTACGGGGAAAACATAGACTGGCTTTGGAGTCACAGTGCTGTTCTGTATCTCAGTGCCAGTCAACCATTTGTGACATCACGCTTGAGCAAATTTCATGTTTACAAACCTGTTTTCTCATCTGTAAAGTGGAGGTCATAATAAATGCTTGGTTCTGAGAGTTTTGAGAAGATTAAATAAAACCGTGCATCTAAAAAGTGGCCTGTGAACTTTATCTCTAAAGAAGTAGATTCATTATACCTGGTAAAACTTTGTCCGAGGTTCCAAGCCTGTTCCGCTGCCTGACCTTCGTGGGTATAAAGCCTCAGGCCTAGGATAAGAAAGCAGAGGACATCACACTGTCGTATGCTTTTCTAAATGCACAGACGGCCAATCGCCTTAGCTTCCACTTTCCCGATTTGAGTAAAACCAGTTTCTTCCGCCTTTCCTCTTAGGCCCAGCAAGTGGATAATGAGGGATGAGGAACAGAGATGAGTCTTTGGAGGTTAAATTTTGCTCACCTGGAATCGCAAAGTTCGATTCGTGCTGGGGCTTGGATATTTGGCTCCCTCGTCTGCTGGAAAAAGCCGGAGCCAGACACAGCGGCTAGGGAAGCGCCCGTGGGATGCCTGCGCGGCACCGGGCAGTGATGCAAGATGACTCATCAGACACAGATGAGTTTGGCCGCTGCTTCTGCGCAGCTGTTTGGAGGAAGCGGAGAATTTCTAGTGCGTTGTTCTGGACGGGCGAACAGACCCAAATGTTGCAGTCCTCACCTCGTGCTCAGTTTTCATCCTGCCTGCGTCGGCAGACCAGCCAGTGCTGGGTCTACTGGTAAAAATGTCCAAGGCACTAGTCTGAGCGCAGAGGTTTCCAGGCCCCGGGCCGGCCCTTCTATGTCCTCCAGTTCCACAGTTTATCACTCATCTCCCCGATGCAGGCGGCAGGCTCAGGGTGCATTTGGCAGTAGGATCAATAGTTTTGCAGAGAGAAAATAGCATGCCAGCCAGAGAGACATCAAATCCTTGGGTGAGTGGTGAGGAGCTGTGATTCAGATTTCGAGGCCATCTGCCCCCAGGGCTGGGCTCCTTCCACCTGTTTCCAAGTTTTATTCATCAGGCCTGCCCTCAGGAAGCCACCTTTACCCTCCTGACTGTCCCCTGTGGGCCTGTGTGTTAGCAGGTGAGGGACACAGAGGAGGGAAGCAGACTATGTCTCCATGACGGGGGGAAGGGGAGGGTGGAAGGAAAGGCCGTGTCCCCACCCTGCAGAATGAGGGTCACCTTCCCAGGGCCTAGGAGTGACATGTCAGGACTCCAAAACCAGAGAGCTCATGCATTCCCCCACCTCACTCTTACTGGGTTGCCCCAGAGTCTTCCAGCATCTTTCTCCTCCTCAGGCCATCTCTGTAGATGGGTGGTTCTACCTCCTGTTGTCCCTGGGAGGGAGTGGCAGTCGGGGTCATCCTCCAGGAAGGTATCAGAGGGTGAGGCTTTTCTTCAGAGCTGTCCCACACCCTCAGCCAAGTGACAGTGGGAGTCAAAGGCGTGGTGGCCAAACTCTGAGCCGCAGTTCCTCCGACCTGACAAGACAAAGGTAACTGTCGGGCACAGTGAGCCTGCTGACAAAATTACTCGTTTTCCGTGATGTGTTGAAAAAGACGGACCTTGGAAATTCAGGCATGTGGGTTTGAGTGCCAGTCATGTGCAAGAGATTGACAGGGTCAGTGTGGGGGTGTCAGACATGCTGCTCCCACAGGCACACGTTCAGCGGTGATTGGTGACAGTGGAAGAGGGGGCACGGTTAGCTTTAAAACCGAACCAATGAACTACTGTATTTGGATAAATACACTTATTTTTAGGGTTTTTTTTTAAAGATTTACTTAAGATACACTTATTGATACAATCCAGTAGTGAAAATACCTGTCCTATATATCAGATCTCACAAAAGTCTAAGGAGAAGAAGTAGAGGAAATGTGGTACGTGTTGTGTAATGAAGTTTTGACTGCTCTTCGTCCCTGGTTGCTGGTAGGAAGCCTCTAAACCCTTGGAACTCCTGGAGTCATGGGAGTCGTTATTCATGTGGGCCCCTCGGACCACACCTGAGTTTCAGCTAATGAGGTGACTGGTGGTGGGTTCATATTTGGTTCCAGGAGCAGGGCTGGTGGAGCTGGAAAGACTGACAGGTGATTAGAGAGTTGGAGCTTTGAGCCATGTGACAGCAGCCTGGCCTCTGGGGAGGGGAGATGGGGTTCAATCACTGTGGCCAATGATTTGATTAATTACCCCTATACCCCTAGTGTACCTAAACCCCAATAAGAACTCTGGACTCCCCAGATGGGCAGGCTTCCCCAGGTGGCAGTCCTACGTTGAAGTGCCGGCACAGTAACGCATCCTGAGGACACCAGATGCACAATTCAGACCCTCCCAGCCTCATCCTGGCTGGTCCTGAGAGGCATCCTTCACAATAAGCCTTATGGTACATATAGCACTTCCCTGTGTTCTATGAGTCATTCCTGCAAATTGTGGAACCTCAGATAGTAGTGGGAACCCCCCCATTTTTAGCCATTTGTTCAAAGGTGCAGAACCTGGGAACCCCCACAGCTGTGGCTGGCGTCTGAAGTGACAGAAGTCTTGTGGAGGGGTGTGACTTACTTAATTTGTGAGTTGCATTGCGTTACGGAATGAATCCTAGAGAACCCTAGGGAAATTCACAAGGGTCCACCGGTATGGGTCCTAATGTTTGTTCACGTTTGCCTCCCATGCTATACAAGAGGCGCCCATAATGCGTGTGGGTCAAATGAATGAGTTAATGATGCAACAGAGGGTTCAGTACCCACTGCCCAGTATACGGTGTGGATCATGCCTCACCTGACCCTGAAATCGGCCCCATCCCCACCTGCACTCTTCTAAGTGTCATTTGTGTCCTGAAGCTTACGAGTGCCCTGGGAGGATCTCTCTATCTGTCTCTCTGTCTTCACTTTTACACCCAAATTCTTCCTAAATGAACTCTCATTAGCCTGTTTTCCCACCATATGGGCCAGAAGAAGAACTTAGTGGCATTTTACACCAGAGTCCGAAACCAATAACAATACAAAACTAGAGAGCCAGTTCTCTTCCTTGGAAAGGGAAGGGAATTACTAAAAAGAGGAGTCTGATATGTTTGAAGAGACTCTTCATTTGAACTGGAAGTTTATTTTTTTATTGAGCTATAATTGACATATAACATTGTATTAGTTTTAGGTGTACGATATAATGATCTGATATATGTCCATATTGGGAAATGATGAACATAATAAGCTGAGTTAACATCCTGTATCTTCTGGAGAGAGAAGAGGATATACACCAGTAACATGACACATCACTGGGTCCCCTGGGCATGGCGGGGGGGGGAGGGGGCTGGGGTGCAGGGTGGCTTAGCCAGAGACTAGAATCTCTTCTGACTTTTTCAATTCTTGCCTTTAAACACCTTTCAATGCTGAGTTTCGTATCATTCAACCCAGTCATTTCCCTGCTCTGTTCCAATCTCTTCCACAAGTGAGAATTCACTGCTGGCACCAGAATCCTCTCAGGGTGAGAACTGTCTTTGCTGACAAAAAAGGCCTTGATTAGAGCCTGGGAAGACGGTCAGCCCCAGTCTTAAGAGCCTGGGTGTCAGGTGACCTCCTGTCTGCCAACAGCGAGGTCATAGGGCTACATGATCGAAGTGGAGGACTGGGCCAAGACGAGTGGAACAGGGAGGGAGAGAAAGGACCGCCAAGCGGCACCATCCAGGATTCCCCCAAAATCTTCAGCAACATCTTCCAAACAGACACTGCTTTGTGTGCATGATTTCTCTTGTGAAAACCAGAGAAGGAGCTGAGCTCCTCGTCAGGGTTAACGTGGTCCCAGACTGAGGCAGCACAGGGCAGAGGAGCCCAGGGGACCCAGGACCCCAACAATTAGCAGCCACCTTGAAGATGACTTTGGCGTCCACTAGCCTCAGAATTGGCAGTTTTCAGACCATTTCACCTGGACACTCTCAACTGATGTCTGGGATGTGGACAGGAGTTTGTGTGCAAGGATGTTCATCACAGAATTACATATAGTGTTGGAAAGTGGAAGCAAGAAGAGGAACCGGTTAAAGAAGTAGAGGGAAAGCTAAATGAAGGAATAATATGCAGTCATGATAAATGACATTGTTAAGGCTATTTAATGACATGGAAAATCTGCTCTAATGTCAGAAAAGAAAAAAAATCAAAATGAAAATGTTACTGTTGGTAATATTTCGGGTTTGTTTTTTGTTTCAGTAAGTGATCTTTGAAGAAAAAGGGCCAAAGTGTTAATCCAGAGCTTTCCGGAGCTTGTGGGATGATTCGCGACTTGTCTTTGCTTTGTTTTCCTTACACATAATTTTCAAGTTCTCCATAATGAGCAAAGTTCTGTTACAGTTAGGAAAAATCAACATCCCTTCTGAAGCGTGGGAGTGGAGCGTGTTTGTGTTAGGCGGCTTACTTGGCAGGCACAGGAGAGAGAGCAAGAGGGGTGCTGCCCTTCAGTGATGTTTGGTCTTGATTTACTTATATCAGTTTAGGTAGAGGCAACATTTGTTTAGCAGAGACAAGAAAGGAGCCAATCACTTTCAGGGATTTTCAATCTCCTATCAAGGATAAAAACAAGAAAGGAAAGAAAAACCAGAGGAGAAAGATAGGAAATAGAAAAAAAATACACATAGGCTCTTTTTTGAAATGAGTTCCCTTTTACCAAGTCAAAGAGGTGACAGCTGGATTACAGATGTGCTGGCAATTCTACCCAGGAGAACGTGCGTGTGTGCACGTATGTGCATGCGTGTGCCTGTGGGGGGTGGGGGTGAGACGACATCTCCTTTCCATGTCCCCCATGAATTACTGGTATGAGCCAGGACAAATTCTCTGAGACCTGACTCCTGCCCCTGCTCCCACCAACCTGTACAAAACTAAGCAAACCTCATCAACGTGCACAGAAGGTTGTAATGTCATAGTTTCAAATCTCTCTGCTGCCAGGTTGAGCTGCAGGAAGCCAGGCTTGACCTATTACAACCTGAGAAATATTTGAGGGGGAAATTCTATCAGACATTCTGGGTCAGCACTCATGTGCCCTCACTAGCCCTGGTTGATGTCAAGAGGATGACAAAACACATTTTCTCAACACCAACCACCAAACAGTAAGATCACACTCCCCAAACATCCCACAACTGATTTGGAGACCCAGGCGTGACTTCGCATGAAACGCAGGTTATGGAACTTGTACCTGCACAACCCTGGCCAAGCCTCACCACCTGTGTGATGAGACCTCTGTCCTGGGGCACTGCCAAGGTGCCCAGAAGCACTGACAAGCTAGGATTCCTTGTAGAACTGGTGTATAAGAGAGAGAGAGAGAGTGTGTGTGTGTGTGTGTGTGTGTGTGTGATGTGCTTATTTGCCCCATGGAAGACAACCAAGGGCATGGGTGACAATTTCAGTGATATTTAATCCTAAAAGGGAAATGGAAGGAAATACTATTTGTTAAGCAACTTCTGAGATTCTAGGACTATTTTAGGTATTTTTACATGTTATCTCCTTTAATTCTTATGATAATCTCAACTCCTCTAAGATGTTACCGTACATTTGCAGTTTGG